GCAGTGTGCTTTGAATATCTCGGTTTGGGGAAAAAATACTGCTAAGGCGCGACAAATTATTGCTCTAAAGCTTTAAAACCTTTAAGTATTAGCCTATACAAATTGCAAATACCGTTTATAAAATGATATACCCTAACAATGTTTTCGATGTGCCTAGCTATCGAAAGAACGAAAAAGTAAATCATAGTCCAATATGTCATTGTTAACTCACCACAAAGAAGGATCAGAAATTTACATGTCAAAAGGAAGTTACCGCCAGCCATTCGACTAGTTGAAAGCGAGTTAGCTCCTTTATAAAAAGGCGTTAAGCAATTCCTCAAATAACAACGGAGTACAACAGAGATCTGCAGGTGGGGGCTGAAGAGTAGTTAAGCTTAAACCCTTGTTTATTTACAATCTGTCATTACTGACGCAAATGAGTTAATTTTCTATGCATCATTCAGACTATTTTTTAAATTACAAATTGTGAATTGTCCGTTTTGGGTTCTAGAAGTTTAAAAACAGTGAGGTAGTGATGGAACTGTTTATAAAGTCTGAATTTAAAAATATGCTGGTGATAAATGCGTTTTTGCAATTTGCCGCGAAAATGAAAAACTTCACATTTAACCTTTTGGTTGTCACGGACGCTAACGAAGTGTATACATATTTATGAATCATTAAGGAGTAAACTTTGCGAATTCATACATATATACATACAGACTTAAAAGGCTTGGTAAAACGTTTCCGAAGTTGAAAAATTTTCTGATTTTTGTCAAGAAAACATAAACCTGTAATTTCGCTTATATGCATCACTCTTTTTTATCACTTAATGTTAACTAAAGGCGGTCTCTCGTCGCCAACAGGGGATTATAAAAAGGAAACCAGCCACCCACTCTAAGCAGCGGTTTTCAAAGCGTCTATACGACAATAAGGAGTGGATTTGTTTAAATATGCTGTGGTTGAACAAATTAAGTGATATGAGGGGACGTGTTAAATAATATCTTTTGAAAAAAAAATTATGCAGATTGTGGCCCTTTAATTTATTTCGTTCGCTTCAATACGTTCTTTAAAAATGATAATAATAAATGAAATAATACTTCTAATGTTAAACGTCAACGAATATGACGATTGGGTAACGTTAACCTTACAAAAAAGCAAAAAACAAAATAAAATAAAATGAGAAAGAGGTGGAAAGAAAAAAAATGAGGACAAAAAGAAGCCTTTTATCTTTTGCTTACTTAGCCGTGAAGCTGTTAATTTGTTGATTTGCAACTAAACGGCAGGTGCTTAAAATTGATGCTGGAGCAACTTAAAATCCATTATTTAAATATTCTATAACACGTAAATGTTTTCAAACGGAGAGGAAAAGAAAAAAAAAACATTCGAAATCTAAAAACATGAACCCTAATTATTTTAGCTTAGTCTACGTTTGGGCTAATAACTAACTATACAATTGATTTCTGTATTGCCTGAGTATCATAGAGAAGGAAACTAGTGGAAAAGTAATGAATCGCACTATTTCAGTTTCATTCCTAGCCGTTTCCTAAACAAAAGCAATACTCGATTATTTTATATACTTGGTGGTAGTTTTTTTATAATAATTGTATGTATTAATTTTTTTGCACTTTAATTCTTCCCGCGTTATTAACCAAGTTTAAAAATGCATTATGTAGAGTTTGAAATGTTTTTAAAACCAACGTTTTATCCAAGATGTAAGCAGGTGTTGTTGAAATAAATAATAATGATAATGGTAATGATAATAGTACAAGTACAAGGTACACAGAAAAATTAGTTGTGATGTATGGGAATACTTCTATGTCCAAATCACTTACAAGTAAAAGACAAAATTTGAACAAAAAAAAAAAAAAAAAAACGAAAATGGAGTGGAACACAAGAAGGTATCATAATCATTCGAATGAGGCCTGTCTCAAACCATCTGATTAAAATGGAGCACAATCGTGCTTATAATTCAAATGCATTTAGCACATAAATTAAGGTTGTGTTCCCTTGTCGCGCCAGTTTCTGACTCTCCATTCTGAATCTATTCTTTTTTCACTCATTTATTGAAAAATTCGTATTTTGACTAGAATCTCGGTTATGCGAAGTGATATGTTCTACAACAAGCTACTTCACCACTTAACTAACGGAGGACATGACTTGAAGCAGACAATGACTTCAGCAGGTTGGCGTATTGTGGGCTACTGACTGTACAAATTATCCATTTCGGCTTCCGGTGGATATGGTAGAGACATTAAAAACAAAGATTTTAAATTATAAGTAACTGGGCGGATTAAAGACTCTCACTTCCCGTGAGGCATTGCGCATTTTTTTGTTTATATATATATCGATTTCAACGAAAGAGCGGCGATCTCTCGGGAGGATAAAGTATTGCATCTCATCTCGAGGAAGAAGTGAACGCCATGTTTGAAATTTCAGCAGTACAGTCGAATCTCCATAAGCGATCGGCCTCTCGTAAGTGAACACCTCCCATATAAGCGACCGCCAATCCAAAAAAGGGAGAAGCAAAAAGAACGTAATATTAAAGACGACAGATGCGTATGAAGTCTCAGTTTTGTTTACATGCTCAGTACATGGATACAGCCGACACGCATAGGAGAATTATGGTTTAATAACTAACAAAGCTTTAATTTACTAGTTGCTAAAGGAATTGGCAGACTGAACGTGTATGTGAATGGAATCATTACATTATTCCTGGACGGGTAAAAACTTGTAAGCTGTATAAAACTTTAGTATATCCGTTGCGCAGTTAATTTTTTATCTAACAAGTAATTTTTCTTTTTCTTTTGTTTTAACTTCATTAGCATACATTACCATACACAAAAACAAAAGAAAAAACCAAAATAACCTGAAATAATAAATTAACTACAACAAAATACACACTCAGAGATCTTCGTGTTTTAAGCGATCTGATTGGTTCTCTAGCTGTAGGACTATGCGTTTCAATTCACCGCATTTAAAGCCTTAAATGTTGTTTTTATATCTCGGTTTTTTTTAAATAAAGTTTTGAGAATAAAATTTTGATAAACAAAAAGCTGGAGCTGATGTTTTTGAAGCGTTGGAGATAAGAAAACACAAAGATAGTGTTGGAAACGGTGTTTGGTGTTTCATCATCTATTGTTGCTGCATCATTTAACCGATCGAAGAAATGTTTACTTCTATACATGTACAGTTTATTTGAGAAAAAAAGGACGGAGGTGCATTGTGGACTCGGGGTTTGCTCACTGGATAAAATATATGTAAACGCTTTAATAGCTTGCAAGAGGATTGAAACTATGATTTGCCTTGTTTCCCTTCTGCACAAGTTCTGTTTACAACTACAATCATGAACTGACCTGGCGAAATATATCTTACAATATAATGTCAAGTCAAGTCAACACGCTAACCACACGCAACAAAAGCTGGTTTCCAGGTGGGACGCAGGCAAACACGCATTACAAACAATTAGAAGCAGTATGGTGTTCACAAATTTGCAAAATTAAGAGAATAATTAATATGTAAAAATGTATACAATGTATACAATGTAGTCGAATATAGCTAGAAAGGTTTACAATACAATTATGTTGGTGGGAGTTTTGAAGAGAAACTACAAAGTTTAAAATACACACATATACAAATTATTGCATCAGAGAGATCTAGCAGAAGGCAATGAGGCAAATTTGCTTTTAGATTCGGACAGCGATGCATGCGCTGTTCTTGCCTCATAAGAAAAATTATTCCAGAGCATTACACAATACTTAAAACTACGTTTGAGGAAATTAGTTTTTGGCCTTGGAAGTGCTAGATCAGTTTCAAGATTACTAAGATTATAATTGATGTTATTATCGTTGAGTTTCGCAAAGGAGGCTCTCAAATGAGGGGCAGATTGATTTTGTTCATTAGGGTAGCCATTACATGTGTCCCTGGTTTCGAGGTTTTTCCATTTCAAATTATCAAGCACATTTACCGATCAAATGTCATATGAAGAACCGTTAATGACCCTACCGGCATGATAATTAGAATTTTTTGCAGTTTATCTTTCAGTTACTTTCCGCAAGTATCCCATAAGGGGGAACAGTAATCAAAGTAGGGTTGTACCAATGAATTGTATAAGGTTCACACGGGTGCAAAGCGGGACAAAAGGTAGAGATCCTTTTCAAGCACACGCCTTTTTACATATATACCATTACGCAATTTGAGTCTCAAAAGTACACATGTAAGCTTTTCATCTATTAGTACCCCCAAACATTTATTAGAGGTTAATTACATGCGAAACAGTATTATTGTCAATGGATATAGCATCAGGTAAATCTTTAGATTTATTATTTAAGTAATATGTCTACCCAATGAGCATTAACTTAGTTTTTAAAGGGGCAAATTGGAGCCTATTAACTGTGATCCAATCACAAAGGTTTTCTAGATCAGAATTGATATTATTAGCAAGAACATTTGCGTCAGTACTAGAGGCAAAGATTTGGGTATCTTCAGCATAAAAACAGGGACTAGTAAACTCTAAGCAATTTGGTAAGTCATTTATATAAAAGAGCAATTGCAGGGGGCAAGAATAGACCCTTTAGGAACTCCACAGAGTAAGTTTCTTTGAGAAGATAAATGTCCATTTACGAAACATTGTTTTTGTCAGGCCGTAAGATAGGACTTAAACCATCAGCTCACTATAAGTGACTCCATAAAACTCAACTTTTTCCAGTAAATCGAATGATCAATTGAGTCAAGGCCTTTCGAGTATCAAGAAAAACTAACAATGTCAATTTTACGTTGTCCATATCTTCAAACCTGATGTCACATATTTGTATTTAAAAAACCGAAACAGTCGAGTGAAGAGGGCGAACTGGTGTGCTTTCTCATTCTGTTTCACTTCATGAGTATGCTAGAATACTAAAACAATTAACACTTTTTTTCAATGTCTGTGAATATATAGTGGCTTGAGGAATATTAACCTCCATTTCGAATCAAGGGTTAAAAGTCATATAAATCTGTCAGTGTGTTGTAGGAGTTGTTCCTGT